TTTACAATCATGTTGACTCACTTTAGCGAAACTATTTTTCAGGGTTCTTCTCTTTTTCTCTTGCACCTGTTTAATATGGGACAGAAGAGACTCGCCTTAAATGTCCAATTAGTCAAGTGACAGGAGGTGAACTAGAAAACTGTTCTGGTAATGACTTTACGGTGGCTGCTCCTCTGATCAAACTATTCTCCAATCTTTAACTACAATGAGCTAAATATTTCTGGATTTAGGATGTTTTGTTAGAAAGTTCTTATAGTTATGGTACAAAGTCTTTGTTATATACGTATATATAAAAGAGTTTGGTTTCTGTCTTTTATTTTTAAGCCCTAAAGTTTAGCCTGTAAGAAATGCTATGAGGTATAAATCTGGGGAAGTCAGAATTCTGCTTATTGATAAAAGAAAAGAATAGGAGAACTGGCGTCCCTCAGGGGTGTGTTCTCTCTCCACTCCTCTTCTCCATGGTACAAAAACCACACCTTCACATAGCAGTCTGCCAAACTCCTTACATTTGCAGACACCAGTCACTGGTGGGATCTGGGGGCTTTAAATGGTGGAGTATTGGCCTAGTGGTTAGGGCATTGAACTTGGATCAGAGGGGTTATGAGACTGACTGCAATTCTGCAATTCCCACACTGCTCCCTGGGCGCTGCACAATGGCAGCCCACTGCTTCCCAAGGGGATGGGTTAAATGCAGAGAGTAAATTTTGTTGCTTTGTACTTGTTACAATGTAATAGCAATAAAGTTCTTCTATTCTATTAAAGGTTCTGAATAGAGACAGGAGGTAGACAGACTGGTCCACTGGTTTGCTCAGAACCACCTGGAGACGAGGTCAGACTTCTGGAGAACCCTTCATCATCTGTGTCGATGTGACAACTCAAGAGGTGGAACCTCCTGCAGGAGCAGCCGGTCATCTTCTACACCATCATCCTTTGTTGCATGTCCATCTCTATGTGGTTTGGCTCATCTACAAATTGAACGATTTGGTGTTCAGAGAGGTCAATGGTGGCCAACCTTCCCTCCATCTACGACCGGTACAATTATAGGGCCAGAGAAAGAGCAACTAAACTCTCAGTGGATTCTACACATCCTGTTCAACCTTTAACCTTCAGGTCGACGCAGCAGTGCCCTAATGGGGAAAAAACAAACGACACAGAGACACTTTCTTTTCCCAGGCTGTCTCTTTTATATGAACTCAATGAACACCTCACTGCTAGGGCAATCAGATGCCCTGCTAGAACAATTGAGGCTTTTTCACAGCTGCAGCCTGCCTCTTCTCATTTTATATATTTAAGAATAGCTACACACACACACACACACACACACACACACACACATATACTTGTATCTACTGCTGTTGTCCTTATTTTATCTTATCTATGCAAATATTTTTTTTCCCTACTGTGGTTCTTTTTTTGGACTCTTGAATATAATGTAATGGAAAAATCAATTGAAATATCTTTGTTGTGGGTGAGGGAGAGGTACAGGGGTTAAAGACACGCCCTATATATGGAGGCCTAAGTCCTCAATGCAGCTTTGATGGGTTTGAGTCCCATTTTGTTGGCCTTTTCTGCATGTTTTACCCCCTCTCTTTTATTTCCCTTTCCTGTCGAATTCATTCTATGAAAATAAAAAAACATTAATGCCTTAAAACAGAGAAAGATTTATAAAAATATGTTGATTCTGGGGTCCAGATTCTACTTGTAGATGGAGTTTACTAACCACTCTCCACTGCTCATCGACAGCTCAGCTGTAGAGGTGGTCAACGGCACCAAATTCCTGGGGGTGCACATCACAGACAACCTCACCTGGAATGTAAACACCTCCTCACTGGTCAAAAGGGCACAAAAGCGCATGTACTTCCTTAGTAGCATAAGGAGAGCCCACCTGCGCCCACCCATCCTCACCACCTTCTACAGAAGCACCATAGAGAGCGTTCTGACCAGCTGTCTCACTGTGTGGTGTGGAGGCTGCAGTGCCTCAGATTGGAAGAAGGTGAGAAGAGTGGTGAGAACAGCAGAGAAGATCATTGGGGCTCCTCTTCCCTCCATAAAAGACATTTCATCCCTGCGCTGCGTGTCCCGAGCCCATAACATCATAAATGACCCCTCAAACCCCCACCATGGACAGTTCTCCCTGCAGCCCTCAAGGAAGATGGTTTGTAGCATTCAATGCAGGGCCAGCAGCTTTTTCCCACTGCCATCAGATTGCTGAACTGTTAAACTCTGGACTCTGCATGACACTCGCAACATTATTTTACACCAACGCATTAAACTTTTATAATCCTTTTAAATAGGACACAATTTAATGTCTCCTGCATTTTGCACCATATTTATGTTGCACTGCACTGAACCTTTCACGTATCAATGCATTTTGCACCTTTATTTTTAAACTGGTTTCTATACTGTTTAAATTCTGATCACTGCTGCACTTCATAAATGGTAAGGTTCACTTGTTGTAAGCTGAATGCAATTGAATTTGGTTTTGTATACACTCTGTGCATACAAAATGACACCAAAGTTTGTCTAAGTCTAAGAGTTTAAATGCACCAAACACCATGTGGGGTTCCTGTTTAAAAATTTTAGGATCAAATATCTGATTAACTTCATTATTCAGTCAGTAATACATAAAATACAGCTTGTATGTCACATTTGTAATCTTTCTATACTGTGCAGAGGCACTGATTTATACACCCTTCAAACGAACCCGAACTTTAAGGCTAAAAAAAGGAGTTTTCCTCTCTACTGTTGCTGCATGCATGCTTGGTGTGAGGGATTGCTGTCGAGTCAATGAGTTGATGCAATCAGCTGATTTTCCTTAGATAGAAAACTTTGAACCAATCCGACAGTATGTTCTAGTTGATCTGTCTCTGTAAAGTGCCTTGAGATGACATGTTGTGAATTGGCGCTAAGAGAAAGAGAAATCCCCTCTTTTAAATGAGCAGGTTTTCTCCGGCACTTTAAGGTCTTTGGCCATGTGGGCGGATCTGATACGTGACTCGATGCTAGCTTATAACAGATACCTCTAAAGCTCTGAAACGACATGCATATAAAGTGTTGGTTCGTAGCTTTATGAATGGCCACAAACAACAGAATATCATTTTAATGTGAACTGAACATACAGTAATAAAGAACCAATCAAACACTAATAATGAAAGACATTTGACTCATTCACATCTCCAGAGTGTTACCTGAGATGTTCAGGTCCTACAGAGATAAAATCCTTATTCAGTCCCAGCACCAGCATCAGTTCACCCTCAGATGGTATCTGGAGGCAATTTTGGCAACAGCTTCACTGATTTCCACCTGCTTTCTGCATGTGTGCACGTGAAAGCAACCCAGGGTCAGCACTGCTGGTACCACCCACCTATCTAGCTGTGGAGATCTCTGCATCCATCAGAAGCAATCCTTCCAACATGGGCTTCAGCTGGAATCTGCATGGCTCATAGGAAGACTTTAGAGTAAGCTGCCATTATAAGGATAATTTATAATCCAATTTACAACTCATCCGAGGAAGATGTCATTGTTTACAACACAGACAGAATGGAGGATATACCGTCTGTGTTTTGCTGTAATTATTAAACTAAATAAATTACTTTACAGATTAGATTCATAATAAAATGACTACATTTTGCATAAAAACAATGCTATGCAGGTACAATTTACATATGTTCTTTCCATTTAGTCCAGACTGTGAAAAAAAAAGTTATGTTGCAGCTATTTAGTGAGGGTGAACATGAATATGTCCTTTTAGCAGAAAAATTAATCAGTTCTCTGTTTAAAAAAATTGGCAGTCTCATTCTGCTGCTGCATATGCCACTTCATTCATATTTGGTAATGCTTCTCTATTCTAAAAAAAAACCCTGCAACAACCTCAGTTTAATAGAGAGGCTTATCTTGTTATAATTAAATAAAAAAAAGAGCTGTGATTTATTTGGTTTTTAAAGCTTTGATATTTTTTTAGGTATTCTGGCTGCAAAATATAAAATTTGCCCTTTAAAATGCACTGCAGGGCAGAGGATCAGCATGCCGCCCCATGTCTTAAACTTACCCTTAAGATAAGCTAAGAGGGCTCCTACCAGATGAGCTGGTCTTTGGAAGCCTTCAGGGAGTCGGGTTGGTGGGAGGTAAATATCTCAGACAGGCCAAACGAAACATGGCTTCCTGCCACGCGCTCAGCTGGAGTAGCCAGGTAAGCCAGCCATAGGAGAGCCATTGGCAGAAGTGCAGGGGATTAACATGAACGCCGCAGCAGCAGGGGAGTAAACGAGAGAAGCTGAGTAAACACATCTAAGAGATCAAAGTTTCTGGCACAACTTCAGCGACTCCAAAGGAGAGGCTTGAAGATCTGGTGAAGACATTGCATGTTAAACCCAGTAGGAACTTCCTGATTCTAACCAGGATAGAGACAAGCTGAATACATTCTAGTAAGAAGTTTTATGATACTATCAGACAAGAAAAAAAAAAAGATTAAGATAATTGACCAGGATCATTAAAAAGTTAATTTGGAGGAGATGAGGTGGATTATATCAACCGTGGAAAAGCTGGTGGCAGCATCATGCTGAGGGTCAGTTCCACAGCTAGTGGTGCATTACATTGCACAAAGTGGAGGACAAAATTGCAATAGGAAAAGCGTGGGTTATTTCCCCTTTAACGGACCCCTCCATCGCCTTCAAAAAAGTCAAATAAAGACAGCTAATGTCATAACAAAGCCAATAACAGCTCTGTATGGAATTATTAAAACTGTCATGTAAATTTATTTACTGGAGCTTGACCTCTACAAATGAGCCATGCTCTAAATGTTTTGGAAGAACAATCATGACAGACGTTAAACTGACTCTTCTGAGCATTTTCACAAAAAAGGTTTTTGTATAAATGGAGCCAAGAAATTGAGAAATATTTACCTTTGATTTAGGACATCTTTCATCTGCACCTTCAAACCAGGCAGCCTCTAACTTTAATTAAAAGACACATTTGAATTATAGCAAATAAAAGCTGTTTATTGTGTGCTTGCTTTATTTTAATCTCTCCATGTCTGATTGACAAGACGGTTTCAATGTGACGCCATTTAAAGCTGAAGGCACCTTGTATTGATTAATTTTTTGTACATTTGAAACAATCTCCATAAACCTAAAAGTAGAAAAATAAAACTTGTGTTCTCTGCTTATGATTAAATGGTGAAAACTGATCCATACGTATTCCCTGCTGTAGAGAACTTCAGTCAGTGAAGTCTGTATGTGTCGATCCTCTGCAGGCAGCGATTTGGATGCTTCTGTCCTGTTATGAGCACTGACAGCTCAGGGTTTGAAGATGCCATCTCCACTCCACTGATCTCAGATTGCAGAGCCGATTCTCGGGTTTGTATGTGGTCACAGCACGCTGCTCTGAGGTCAGCTCCACAGGCAGATGCTGCTCATGGCCTGGCAGGTGGAAACGCTCTCAGCTGGAGAACGGTAGATCTTGCCGCTGGGGCAAACGCACACCTCGTACACAGCCTGCTTCCTGAAGGCCTTGCCGGCGGACGCAGCAGCGATGCCGAGGGGAAGGTTTTCCAGCCGAATGCTGTCGGCATCGAGGAGGATCTGGAGGAGAGAAACGGCACAGAAAAACTAGAATTCAAACAAATCATTAGTGGGGCCCTGATGGGATGTACTACCACCTGAAAACGATTCTTCACTGTCAGGAGCAGCAAGTCTCAGATGAGAATAAGCAGAGAAGCAGGTCTTTACTTTCATACATAAATAACTAAATTCTGTTACAGCTTCATCGGGATCAACATCATTAAAAGTTGAAATCCAAGAATGTTTCTTTACCACTCAGTTCAAGTCTGTGGTCTTTATTCAGTAACCTCACAATAACTCTGTCCACATTTCCTCCCTTTAACTGATGTTTCAGCCATTGCAGCTGCAATTCCTCAAGTTTTTTTTCAATATTAGCATCTCCATTCTTCTATATACCATTACAATTACAATAGCAGGTTGACTTTTTAATTCGATTATCAAAAAAATTAGGATTACTTTTCTATTCTATGAACCTAGTAACTATCTCTCTTAATTATTGGGTTAATAACCAGATTGCAAAGTTACTTAAAAGCAGAATTTGAACCACTGAAGGAGTATGATTATTATGATTATTGCTCTGAGTGGGTTATTTTCTCAGAAAATGGTCTGTTTTAATTAATTAATTCATTCATTTTTAGAGTTTTTACACTCTTGACTTTATATTTTAACAATATATGAATCGATTTTATTAAGATTTATTCTTTCATTCATAAGTTTGAATCATTTTATGCAGTATCAGTTAGCTTTACTCTTTTTTTTTTAAATTAACAATCAACCTCTAAAATAACTAAACAATTGTTGAATAAAAACAAAAAGTCAATCTTCAGCAAACCCCGTAAATAAATTCATAATTCTAAAGTTCCTTCATTCTTTCGGTTCAAAATCCCTGACCTTTTCCAGATGAACATTTCTAAAATATTTCAGTCTATTTGAAGTCGGTTTAAAAAGCTAACAAAAAAAAATACTTAACTTTACCTTTCGTAGTTCTAAAATAGTTAGGAAACTTTAAAATACTAGACTCCAAGATATATGGAAGAATGGACACTTTGAAATATGAATGGACAAATAGGGAAGAAACAACAGACAATTGGATGGATGGATGGAAAGACAGGTAGATGATGGAAAAGTGAATAAACAGATGATTTAAATAAGTATCTTAAAGAGACAGAGATAAACGATTAGATCGAAGATGGTTAGATGGACAGTCTTTCAATTAACAGCAAAATTAGGCATACTTTTTAGAAGCCACTTTTACATCATATGCATTTATTACTGGATTATTAATATGATAGAATATAATTCATTCCATTTTATGACAAAATATTTGTCATTAGGTGATGACCTTTTTATTTCCCATCAAATCTAGATATTTATTTAAAATTGCCTATAAACTGAGAGCAAAGTGGAACAAAATTCAAATTTCTTGCAACTTATTAAAGTTGGATTAATTCCTGTTGTAAGATGAGATCCTCTCACCTCTCCCTCTGTGGATTCCAGCTGCAGGTCCTTCCTGCTGCTGATCTTCAGCGTCCCCGCAGCAGCGCTCACTTCCACGCCTCTCGGAGCCTCCATGCTCAGAGTTCTAGTCGGTGATTCCAACCTGAGAGGACATTTTTTTACCCAGAAAAAAGGTGGTGTTTCAATAAGTGAACCCATTCAAATGATCCCAGGTTACATTTCTGATTCTTCTCCTCGTTTATACATCACTGGGTAATTTCATGTGTTATTGGAGTTCAGACGTCTTCGACTTAGTATAGAAAAATGAATCACAACATTTTCGCTAAAAGGCTGATGGTGCCTCTATTTGACTTCAATATATTTCTATAGGAGGGAAATTACAGCTGCTGTTAAGTAAAGGTGCCACTGCACATTACTCCAAGCTTAAGTGGTCCCATCCTTAGTGGCACATAAACCCAGCAGCTGATTTTTGACTTTCAGCAACAATGAAGCTAACGCAATTACCATTTTCCTCCTTGGACTGTTTGTTTACACACAGACAGATAAGTGTGAGCGCCAATCGATGTGAATATCCGTTTTCATAACTCATAACTGTTGCAAATTGATTTTCTTCCCCCACATCTTGCCTAAATCTCTTTTCAATAAATTTTAAATGGGTCGCTCTAAGCAGCCCTGTTGAATTTGTTTGAACCGCTTTAAGTGGCACACATTTTGGAACATCGTTTATTTGTAGAAACAGTCCACAGAGATTTGAAGAAGAAAAATAAAATAAATAAAATCTTCTCTCCCCTGTAGCAAAACCACTTCTTTGTTCCTCTCTTTCCTTCTGCGCCCCTGATGTTCACAGGGAGCTAAAAGAATGTTTGAGCGAGTCACTTTTTAATAATTTCTCAAGACTCCAGCGATGATCCATGGCCTGGACAGCAGAGTCATTAAAAGACTCATTTACAACACTCTGCACTGAGCCGTGCCGTTAGAAATTAGTGATGTGGGATGCGTGTGTGCGAGACATTTTCACTCCATTCAAAGCAGTTCAATCATCACCATTCAGCCACACACACACACACACACACACACACACACACACATATAAAGGCAGACTCTTCCAGAAGACAAAGTGTTCAATTTCCAAGAGTGCTTGTTTCAAACACAGTCCAGCACAAAGCATTAAATGAATTAAATTTTTTCAAAATGTCTTCTCGGTTTTATAGCCAGCTCGGGCTCCCTCCATCACCATGTGTGCTTCTGGCACTCTAAGGTCACATTTTATCTTGATGCTGCCCAATAAAACCAGACAGGTTTAATGAGGTATCATTTAAATGCATCAATACCTGATCAGGAGTTATAATACATATGTTAAATGACGCTATTTTACCTCCTAAAATTAATAGCAGAGCTGGTAAGCTTAATGCATGGACTATTTTTTTTTTTTTTTTTTACTTATCTTATAAGAAAAATAAGTTCAAGAGACCCATCTCCAGAAACCTGGATCTAAACTCAAAGAAAATTGCTTTCATTTAATAATTTTAAATATTGAAAATCAGCAGAGGGAGATTATTTTAGATTATTTTTTAAAGTCCTCTGAGATTATTAGATTACATACCATTAGGTTTAAGATCAGAGTGCTCTTGAAACTGTTCAATGATTTAGTGGGACTGATTAACCAGCTGAGTAGATGTAACAAACTAACTTTCTTTCAAAGTCATTTAATACCATTAGAAAAACCACAGCATCATGCTATCAAAGAACAAAGCAGACATGTCAGGGATTAAGATCTAGACAAAGTTAGAGCACATTTGGGTCATTTAAACCAAAGGTAGAGCAAGGAGAGCATTAACCAAGAAGAAAACATAAAAGGCCCTTTTTTTAATGCTTGCAAAAAACCCAAAACATGCAGCAAACATACAGAAGAAGTTGATTTTTTTTATTTATTTCGGATGACAGCAAAACAGTTCCTCAAGGATCCATATTGGGTCCTGTTTGATTTCTGTACTTGCTCCATCTGGGATTCATTTACCAGAAATACAATGCTTCATTCCATTTTATGTGGATGATGTGTAGGTCTACCTAACGTTAGTTATGGGAGGAGCTTAACCTTCTCAATTTATATAATAAAAAGACGGAGGTACTGTTATTCAGTCAATCTAAGCAGCTGCTGGGTTTGTTTATTTATTTGTTTAATTATTTAGATCCCCATTAGCTACTGAGTCAATGCAGTAGCTATTCTTCCATAATATCATATCATAATGTCATAACATTTTTACAGATATTACATAAAAGCTGAGTAACAATGAAAATAAATATAGAAAGTGCACACACACACACACACCACAACACAACTTCATATACATATATATAACATACACACAGATACACATCATATAGTATGAGCTATTATATGTATAACACATTACCAATCTCTGGGTATTCTGTAAATAAACATTTCAGTTACTAGTGCTCATTATGAATTACTTAATT